TAAAAATATGAACACCTAGATACATAGATTGCTAAAGCTATAGATCAAAGAAAAATAGCTACAATATTTTTACACAAGTAAACTATGCTTTATATGGTTTTTTGCCAACCCTGTAACTCCCTTGCATTTTGGTCTCTGATGAGCTCTGTGGACACATTATTTATGTAGGCATAGTATATATGAAAAAATATGGTACTCCTAATTTAATACACCTCCAATACATTAGTTCTCATTCTCGCTAATTTCTTTTTTCTCACTAACTTTTAACTTAATTTATTGTCATTGAGTGGATTCCGATTCATAGTGACCCTATAGGACAGAGTAGAACTTCCCCTTCGAGTTTCCAAGATTTTTAAAACCTTTACAGGAGCAGACAGCCTCATCTGTCTTCAGCAGAGCAGCTGGTCGGTTTGAACCACTGACCTTAAGGCTAGCAGCTCAATGTGTAGTCTACTATGCCACCAAAGCTCATTTCCTCTTCACTACAACCCTGAAAAATAAGTATTATTATCTCTATTTTACAGATCAGGAAAATAAGGCTCAGAAAAATTAAATAACTTATCCAGAACCACACAACCAGCTTTCAATCTAGTTAAAGTAATAAAACATATATATGAAAACATAACCTATTATTCAGGGAAGGTTACATAGAATAGGTATGGCCTGAATCAGTACATAAACAGTAAACACTTGAAATATTATTTTGAAGTACGATATAGCTGCATATAAGTAAAGGAATACAAATTGAAAACTGCAATTTTTCCCTACCAAATTGGCAAACATGTTTTCATTGTTTTGGTTTTTTCCACTGGAGGAGCAGAGAAAATAAGAGGACAAAAAATCAAAATATCAGCACCAATAATGAGAGTAGTGAGACTAGGAAAGTAGAGGGGAGGTGGGGGGAGAGAAGGGGAACCGATCACAATGATCAACATATAATCACCCCCAAGGGGATAAACAACAGAAAAGTGGGTGAAGGGAGACAGTGGTTGGTGTAAGACATGAAAAAAAAATTTATAAATTATCAAGGGTTCATGAGGGAGGGAGGGAAAAAAATAAGGAACTGATACCAAGGGCTTAAGTAGAAGGAAGAGGTTTTGAAAATGATGATGGCAACATATGTTCAAATGTGCTTGACATAGTGGATGAATGTATGGATTGTGATAAGAGCTGTAAGAGCCCCCAATAAAATGAATTTTTTTAAGTCAAAAAATTCAGTGGTGTCTAAGCATTACAGTGATTAGAGTATCTGTTATAGGCTTCTGGATTAATATTCTACAATCAGAATGCACTACATAGAGCAGGACTGGGGAATGTTTCATTCTAGTGCATATTGGGTCGCTATGAGTCAAAAAGGACTCGATGTGACCTAATAATCATCTTTATCATAAAAAATAAGCTTTAAATTTTTGAGTGGGCTTTAAATGGTATATGTGGAACTTCCACATACCATATAAAGACATGAGGATAGAGTGAGATGATATTGAGGGTAAGATAAAGAAATATAAATACAAATGACTAAACTGGTGGCCATCAAGTCGATTCCAATTTGGAGCAACCCCATAGTACAGTGTAGAACTGCCCGGTGGATTTCCAAGACTGTAACTCTTTACCTGGAACAGAAACCCTCCTCTTACTTGAGGCGCATGTGGCGGCTTCGAGCTGCTAATTTTGCCACTGGCCGCCCAACACAGAACCCTCTACTAGGATTCTTTCAAAAAGGAGGAAATTTCTCACACACAAAAAATAATTCATGAACAAAGAGATAGCTTTAGGAGTTTTAATGTTTCTCATCTGAACATTAACGGCGCAAAGACAAATTAAGTTCCATATAGTGAGATACCATGTAACCCTATGGGTGAAATACTTTAGTTATAAACCAGCACATATAGTGTGACTCCATT